AAGTGGCAGTAACGAAGTCACTAAACCTGTTTATAACACCCAAAGAAGAGCTGTGGCCGAGCTTTCCTCTTCCTGCTATCACCTGAAAATTCTAAGAAGGAATGCACATCATGCACCTCCTGCATTGACTGTCTTAGAGATAAGAAGAGCAGAAGGGTGGGAAACTCTACTTTTAAGTCCTTCTAAATGGAGAAACAGTGAAGAGAACCACTGACCTTATCACAAAGAGAAACTTGTGTACAAGCCCACTGATGAACACCACTGAACTCTTAAACATTCTTGAAAAGTGGTCCTTCTCAAGATTAATTTTTCCTTGTCTTTTGAATTTTGTTGATTTCTACTACCCTGCCCATGCTCCAACACTCAGTGGGGAAGCCTCCCCTTGGCCAGCCCCTGTGCTCTGGTCAGTGAACTCCAGCACCAGAACTGTTTCCTGACTCCAGAGCTGGCACTGAAAGGCTGACTCCTGCACTCACTGATTACACAGCACCTTTGCAAATACACAGACACACACAGAGCCCTACACTGCTGTGACATTGTAAAGGCAGTCCTTTACATGAACCCTCAGAATCGTGCTGGACAAACAGCAGCACTGAAAACACAGAGAAAAGACAGTTTGAAGTCAGAGGCACAGATCAGAAAAAGACAATTGTACTCATGTATAAACGCTGTCACATCCTCACTTAGGTAACAGTCTAAAGGAAAATGGTATGGTAATTTTTTGGTTGGCTGTCCAGAAAAACCAGGACGTTATGGATCAGGGTTTTTTTTCCTCAAACAAGCTGTTGAACAGTAACAATTACATACTTTAAACCCAAGGAAATTAAAACCCATGTATACCTAGTGATGCGGACAAAGTATAAGGGCAACTCAATTCCCATTGGGATGCATCCAAATTCAGCAGTCTTACATGAGTATTTACAGAATTTAGAGAGACAACATCTGTACCAATTCTGTCTGATGTAACTGACAATTTAGACAGCTAGTTCCTTTCTAATGAGGCTGTTTTTTAAAGTTATCACGTCCTCATAACTTGAATTAGCCTTTTTTTTCCTCTCTTGGCTATTTTTATGCATCTGAAATGCTCTGCATCAAATGCTGCTTTTTTATATAAAGTTTAGTTGCTTAAAGGAGAATGGGGGTACTGTGAGCTCTTACAGAAACATTTTATAATTCAAGCTGTTATGCTTCCATACTAAAAAGTTAACAAGGGGAAAGCTGTAGCCACATTATGAATTGAGCCATTTCAAAACCAAAACAGTGTAGGAAAACAGTGTATTCACAAAATGAATGCTAAGATACATCCCAATTCATACAGCCAACCAAAAAAAAAAAAAAATTTGAAAGCTTCTTAACAACAGTTAATAGAGGATCCAGATGAACATTTCTGTACTTATTCAACATCTACTAGAAGGGAGAAGCTAAAGATCAATCCAGAGGAGTATTTGCAATGCAATTAGGCTAGACAAGTAAGCCTGAATGTATGCCAGCTGCAGGGGTCTGCCCTTAATTCACACAATCAAATGTCTAGTGTGTCACACAGTGTCTAGCATCAGTATCTCCAGTATTAAAAGTCTCATCAGATATGCACTTATTTACTGAGTGTCTAATCAGGGTCTGAACACATATCTAGCTGCACCTTCTAGCAGTCTATATGCCAGTCCATCACCATCTGTCAGTTAAAGCTCCCGCAGACAGAAAAACATCAATTCTAACAAATGTGTTCGGTACTCAAACTAAGCTATCATTCACATTTCACTATAAGACTTGAATTCCTTTTCAGTGTTCTTCAACTCTGACCCAGCTCTACCCCCTCCTTCACTGAAAAGGGCAAAGACAACAGCCCAGCAAGTGGGACAGGCAAAACAGACCTCCTTTGTTCACTTTTTCCCTTTCAGTTTTCTATTGAGGTAAATAACTGAAAGCTCAGCCAGCCTCCAGTAGCTCAGAAGAAAGCAAGATAGCCAGCTTGCAACTATCCCTTCCTGGTTAACAAACTGCGGGACAAAACTTACGGTGCGTCATGTTAATCTTATTATTAGAGATTAACTCTACAAATTCCCTTAATATCACATTTATGAGACATTCATAAATGCACAAGTTGCAATGTCCTTAATACTGAACAGGCAATACACACACCAATTTAAAATGCAACAGATTATCACTGCACAGAAAGTATTAACAGAATTTTTTAAATACTATCAGCCCACTCAGGAAGGCAAAATCAAATTCATTGCACATTGCCCAACACAATACCTCCTACATTATTCCTTCAGCTTTCATTACCAAGATATACTTTCCTCTGTATGACTTCCCCTTTTACCAACTCTGTTCATAAAACGCGAAGAAATGAACAAGTCCAGTGAAAATTGAACAGCACAATTTTACCGAGCTGTCAATATAATGGAAGTTAAGTAATCACAATTCAAGGTGATTTGAGACAGATGAACAAACTACAGAATAACAGCAATTTCACAGGTGCAGGCAAAACAGATTTAATTTTTAGGCTGATTGGGCTATTTGAGCTCAATCAAAGTGCTCAAAAAAATGCCAAACCCTTAGTGTATTCCATATCTTTTATGTCCAGATACCATGGCAAGTCATTTCTCTAAAGCAGGAAGAATAGGCAACATGCATTACCTGACTTGAAATCGGAATCCTCAAAATAATAAAATCTGACAATTAGAGAGACATCTTATTAACCCCAAGAAACTCTTAACTTGGTTACTAAAGCTTCTGCTGTCACCTTTTTGAGCACCAAAGAGAAACACCACAGTACAACAAGCTAACAGGAGGTATCAGTATGCATCACTGTATTTATTTCCTTTTCTTAAAATAAAGACCATTAAAAATAGCCACATCTTCTTATTACAGCTCTTTTTGTCAAACAAGCTGTGGTATATGTGATAAATAATATGCTTTGTCCAAGAAGATATGGACCAGTATCTAAGGCTCAGATTCTGGTGATCTCGTTCACCTTGAACATTATTACTTTTGAATAATTCTACTGTGGCCAGTAATGCTAATGACAGAACTAAGATACTATTACGAGTAGTTGTGGGTTTATCTGTGAGTTGTGAAGCAGGTTTCAGCTCCATCCTTAGCACCAGCTGGTGTACACTACTCCACCATCCGATGTGGCCGCACAACTGTACAGTTTGCCTTTGGCTACACTGCCTTTGCACAGCCCAGAATGTGAATTCATTCAATGGATCCCAAGTTCTGTCACCACCAAGCATCCTTTACATTCAATATTCTCAGAATGTAACACTTTCCCAGTTCTATATTGATATAGTCTGACAGCTAATTTTAGACACACAAGAGAATTTCAAAGTACTTTGAAATTCAAATAAGTAACTTTCACAGACTTCGGCATCACACTCATTAGGAGCTCTGGTCACTTGCATTGCAATTTCTATTCAAAACTAAACAAATGCCTGAGGTGTATTCATACAAATAGTAACATCAAACACATTAGACAAATATTAAGAAGATGCTGCACCTGCAAGTCAGTTTTCTGATTTCTAGGTTCTTTGAGCTGTGCAACACTGAACTACCCTTCTCTTTCCAGCTGATATCTCTTGCCAAAGAACAGCAGCAAGACTGGCCTCTTGGCATATAAGCTGCTCTCAAAACCAAAAGACAGTCCAGATGCTTTCTGATGTCATACAGTGACCTGTTTTATGCACAGACCCATATAACTACTACCCATAAATTATCATATCCATTACATTAAATTATGCGAGATGTTGAAATTCTTAATAGCGCACCTATTAGATGCAATAAAGTTTTCAGGTTTCATCTACCTTTTCCACAATATACTTAATTAAGAATCAAAATCAGACAGAGAAAGAAATGCAAAGACACGGAACATTAGAAAAAAGAAACCCAGGTGTTTAATACTACCTTCTTTGCTCAGTAGGAGGTTGTTTTGAATAAACGCACAAAAGCTGGACCTTTATGGATAAAAGAACATCATGTAATGATCCATAGGTTTCACTGCAGAACTATATATCACATTTTCCATTGTTTTATCCAACTACACAGAGCTAAGCAACAGCATTCTTTTCACAGAGTACTTGTCAATATGGAACAGCCTTATTAACTGGGCTGAAGCACACTATGATCTTAAATATTTAAACAGCTTGGCATTATTAATCAGGTACTGTTTACACTTAGACTCCAAAGCCTTGGTTTAAACACATTTCAGACTTCAAAACTAACACATCTATGCTGAAGACCTCAGCGACAGCTGAAGGTTTGGTTAATTATTACTTTATAACCAAAGAGACAAGTGCACTCGCCGCACAGACTTCACCACGATATTCTGCATTAATCGCCTTCAAGAAGCCAAAATAGGGAAAACACGAAAAGCCCACAATTCAGACACACTGTAGCTATTTTATATCTAAATAAAACCGCAACTGTGAGGAGCGGGGAAAGAAAAAAGAAAAGTACGGGTGACAAATAAAGGCGCAAGCAAGAGCCGAAAGGCGGACGGCGGCAGTTCAGCACCGACAGCTCCTTCCCCCGCACACGCCCGGCCCTCGCCCCCGCCGGGCAGCGCACGAAATGGCGACCGAGCCCGCCCGGGGATGTGGGCGCGCCGCAGCCGCGGAGCGTCTCCGCCCGGCCCGCCGGCCCCGGGAGGTGCCAGCGGCCGCCGCCGCAACAAAGCCCCGCGGGGCCGCCGCGGCCCGGGCGGGCTCAGCCCGTGCCTCCTCGCCCGCCCCCTCGGAGGAGCCCCGGCACCCACGGAGGACGGGCGGCTCCTCGCCGTCGAGGCGGCGGTGCGGGGGGATGGATGTGACACCGGCGGTGCGGGGGGATTGGATGTGACACCGGCGGTGTGGGGGAGATGTGACACCGGCGGTGCGCGGGGATGGATGTGACACCGGCGGTGCGCGGGGATGGATGTGATACCGGCGCGACGGCGGGCGCGGCAGCTCACTCTGCGTGATGCGCGGCGCGGAGACAGGGACGGCCAGGTCGGTACTCACGGGAAGGTGCGGCCCCTCTCTGCCCGGGGAGAAGAGGGTCCGGGGGGTACTCGCACTCTTGCTCCTGCCGCTCCTGCTGCTGCCCGCTCGGCAGCCCGGCGAGAAGAGCCGCGGCGGGCGCGCTCCCGCGCTGTCCCCTCCCCGCCGCCGCCCCCGCNCCCGTGTGGGCGCGCGCGCGGCGCGGGGGCCGGGGCGGGGCTGGGGCGGGGCGCGGGTCCCTCGCACCTGAGGGGGCGCGAGGCGCGTCCATCTTGGGCATCCCTTCCTCCCTCCCTCTTTCGCTCCCTGCCTCCGCCACCTCGGTTAAAACCGGGGTGGAATCGCCATTGTAGCACCGCTCAGAGGCTCCCGGACCGACCCGACCCTGAGCCTCCCCAGCGGCGCCGGTGCTCGGCAGGCCCCCGGGCACCGCCTGTGCCCTCCCCCGGCTGGGGACAGCCGAGCGCTCCCCGCGGCACCCCCGGCGCTGCCCCCCCGGCAAGGGCAGTGTTTTAAATAGCCGCATTATTTTAGCCCGGCAGTGCCCCTCTAAATAGATGGTTTCAGCGAGTTCCCAAACTGGAGACAAGGATATTATTTTACACTCGAGAATTGTCCTGTTGAACTCGTTAAATTTGCAGTTCACAAGTTCAGGAAGGCGGGCGCTTGGATGCGATCACTGACAGGGAAGCTTTGCGTGACACCATTTGGAGAAGAGTCGGGAACGGGGCTTATTCCAAGTAAACCTTTCTGCTGAGCGCACCTCTCACAGAGCCCTCCTTCCCTTTCACATCAGCTCGTTTAATGAACGACATCAGAAATTATCTTCATGAAACTTTGAGACTTTCATGGGCTGTGCTCAGTATTGCTCAAAATTAATCCAACTCTAACATAGTAAATGTGATTAACTGCTGCTGCTGAATTTGCCTTTGAATCAGCCGCTGTAGGAATAGCCTTTTGTGCATTGCAAGGTGGCAACTTTTGTGGTGGTTAACCATTATACATTTCAGGGAACAGCTCTCAAGGTGAACTCTACAGTGATAATTTAATAGTGCAAAACGCAATGCCTAAGATGAGCAAATAGCCCTTACTCTGCATCTCTGCAGAAACCACATTACGACTCTGGCAAGTTAAATCTGAACATCTGACCTTCTGAAAACAATGCTTGAGAGGAATAACAGATTCTGTAAATGATATAGCTCATGAATATAAATATCCAAGGGTTAAACAAGAAGTCAGATGTTACTGCTTTAGACTTTGGAGATATTCAAACTCCTGTCAATCTGAAGCCAGGATATTAATGTTTGAGAGCAGAATATGCAAAAATGAATGTGAAGAAAAACCATTTTATATACAGAGAGGTGTTCCAATGTTCTTTAATTTGTTTGCTGACTATTTTTTTTTTTTTTTTTTTTTTTTTGTTTAAATTTAAAAGTCTTCCAATGTTCTTTAATTTGTTTGCTAACTATTTTTTTTTTTTTTTGCTATACATCTCCCATGTTTCCGACTGATTTATTTAACTACAAAAACACTACAGTCTAAGTAAATGTGCATCAGTGTATACACAGATGGCCTTAAAATGCTAGGATACTGCCTGACTTTTCTTCCACGATATTGTCTCCCATCAGGAGTGTAGCCACTCCTGGCTTTGTGAAAATGTAGGTATAAAATGCAGAGAGAAAGCTGAGAAGTTATCTGTCCGTTTGCATCCCTGATGGATTCCATAGGCAACACGGTGAGCCAAATCTTCAGGAGGTTGACTGTAGAACTTCAGGAAACTTGAGGGGAAAGATCTGAGTTGAAAGTTTACCTTTCTTGAAATGTAGGATCAAAGATCTGGTTAGTATTTGGATGGCCAGCATACGACTCTTTATAGGCACAAACCAGTGGGCTGTGGCAAACAACTTGGTGGAAATTCAACCACAAGACGTATGTAAGTGAAGAGATTTTACTGGGGCAGGGAGGATGTCAAAAACAACTCTACACTGATATAATAAACAGCTCTACTGATGTAGGGTGAAGCTGTAGTGTTGCAGCTGGTATGATTACACCATTGTGATTCCCCTCAGAATTTTAAGTCTATACATTTTTTTTATTACATAGATAAACAGATATACACGTTCAATAGCACAAAGTAGTTCTTTCCAAATTGTGGCATAATTCTTAGTAAACAAGTAAATTCAAAGGTTTATACAGCTAGGAGCTACTGGTGATGGCTTCTGCTTGTCTGGATGACTGCTACGCTTACTGACAGTAGGATGTGGCACCAAGCAAAAAGAAGCAGGTGAGCTTGGTGGCATAGACAGCAACAGCCATTATGATAAGCAGAAGTTTTGTGGCTGAAGGAGTATTAGCTTTCGGAGTTCTCTGCTGCCTTGCATCTTTTCTGTAGACATATTATTTTTTGTAGCCTTTCTTCTCACTTTGTCTGCTGCAATTATATCCATGGATGGGCAGTTTGAAGCATAGTCTTAGTACTCATTTTCCTTTATTACCAGCCTTGGTTTAATTAGCTATCATCTACTGCTTTCTTCTGTATTCATCTGTTGGAGTTTTTGTAGTCTGTTTAGGGAAGCACTGATCAGGTAGACAACACATTTATTTGAAATACAAAATTGATTCACAATTGCAGTATTGTGACAAAGGAAAAAAATCAAATACTTGTCTGTAATGGGTATCAGTTGTGATCTGGATCTTGAAAAGTGTTTCTAGGAGGAGGTTACAAATAAAATACTCAAAGGAATGATACTTTGGTAAAGGCTAGGGTCATTTTAAGGGGCCCCCAACTGGGTGATAAGCTACATAGACTCAATATATTTACAGAAGGCTGATCAATAATCTCCATTAATAAACCCATACTTTTATACCCTAGTTTGCTACAGGTGGACCTAATTGGTCCTCCAATTTAAATACTATCACTATTAGCTAATTAAGAAACCACCCTTTGGTAAACAAATCTCCATAACACATTCCACATGTTCACAATATCAGGTGTATCAAGTTGAGATAAGAATTGTTTCTCATTCTTTTCTCTGATCTCACAGACTTTCCCCAGAACGATGCTTGGGAAAGTTGTGTTTCTCTCTGTGGCCAGAGAGCTGCTGTCACAGGCTAGTGTTAGCTGAAAATAATTCTTCGACATTTTCTTCCTAAAGCAGACATTTAAAAGGGATGTGGGAAGACATCTTTGGTTGTTCATCTCACCTAACTTTAGATGTCTACTATGGGAATGTCTGCATCTGAGCTAGTCAGTCTCTCCGCTGAGCATAAAGGGAACCAGAAATAGGCACTTCTAGTGTGTGATTCATCTAACCTATTTTAGCTGTCTACATTAGAATAAACCAAGTTGCATCCTAGAAATGCCTGTTTCTCTCCATTAACAGTAACAGGACCAGCGGGTGTCTCATTTAGCTGTAAATGTCTACATTGTAAGAGTCTGCATGCACTCAGCTGAATGCCTTCCATGTGATTTTAACGTGAGTTATGCCACTGTCCCACTGTTCCACTTGTTTTGAGGTCGTACAATGGTGAATGGAGCATGGTGTAGCCTGAAAAGTACTTTACAAAGTAAAAGAGTGAAATATACTCCACTGAATGTATTGAAAGTCAATAAAATTTAGACTAATCATATTCAGTAGATTTTGGGGGCCACAATCAAACACTGAACAACTTTTGAGACTAATTTTAATCTAGTTTGTTTATGGGTACTTAATATTTCTTTTGGAGGTTTTTTTTTTTGATACTAAGTAGTAAAGTAAATGCACTTAACTGCTGGACTAATACTCTTCAGAACTCTATTTACTACAGCAGCAAAAAATGAGAATATTTCTAAGCAGAAAAGAGACCAAAGACAAGCTCAAAAGCTTAAGTGATAATGTCTAATGTTAAAAGCTGCACTTTTTGGTAACAGTAACAAATCAGCTTTCACAGAGCACCAGGCAGAGGCTGTTTTGATGTAAGATATGTTGAGAACTAGGGTAGCAAGAGGATTGTACAGGAAAGACATTGCACAGAAGTGTTGTGATGTGCTGTCAACAACTGAAAAATAATTTAAGGTTTCAGAGCTATTCTCTCAACAGACAATCTGTGACTAGAGTTAGGTACTACATGTCTGATTCTGTCACCTAGGCACCGATAAGCTGTCACCTGGGCTTCCCTTACAAGAAATCAGAGCTCTCCTAGAAGCCAAGAAGGCTAGCAGGCTAAGCCAAGAGCCAGTTGGAGACAGCCACATGTAAATGCCATGGTTTGAATCATGCCTATGTAGGACTTATGCTATTCAAAGCTGGTGGCAAATACTGCCAGGGATTCACAGGGTGAAAACTTCTTTCAGGAATTAGATGCTTGAATGAAAAATGAAAGGACATGATTCTTTTATTTGAGAAGTAGGTGGAGAGGGGGAACTGAACTGTTGACGCTATCACCTACCCCATCTTTCATTAGCTTGAGCATTAGAGCGCTTATAAAGAAAGCAGGAACTCTGGGCTAAGTTGTTTCTTTCGCTTAATGAGTTTCAACTTCTCAGGCCACAAACTTTACAAGACATCTGAGGGTGAAGATAGAGTTTTCAATCCACCGTTACAGGATAGTTAAACACTGAGAGACAGTAAGATTACACACATAAAATACATCTCACACAAGCAAGAAAAGTGTAATTGATATATCTGACTGTTTAGCAGGAAACTTGAGTTTTAACCCTATGTCTAAACGTATGTCACTGCTCTTTTTTGGTGTCTTTTTTGTCGCTGTGTTAGATTTCTAAGTGGCCTCGGTTGTCCCCAGTGGCTTGAGTGTCTATGTTTTACACTGACTAATGATTAGAGCATTCTCTCTTGTGCCTATGAGTATTTAATAATCCCATGGAAAGTGGAATACCTTCATAAGGAGAGATGGAAACACCATTTTATTTAGGAGTACTCAGTTTCTTAGCTGCTAGTTAGCAAAGGCTGGGAAAAAGAGTTAAACATATGTCAAATACCCTGACCAATTCTAACTGCAGAAGACAGTACCATCAGCTTGGTTTTGTGTCAAGTTTATTTCATCCAGGTGGATGTGCTCTGAGAATGCTTAAGAGATCAAATTTTTCAGGTACAATGGAGAGATGAACTTTTTACAACATTTGCAGATAC